AATCAACCAATCCCAGTTTCAGACCGATATGTCATTAGTTCCGTGGAGATATTCGGCTCCCAGCGGCGGGCCGAGATAGAAACGGTGTGGTTCAGTCAAGCTGATGACGTTGAACCGCGTTACGCACGCTGGCACATGGGATTCTGCCGAGGTCAATATTGTTGCTGTCGAGGTGAAGATGGTATATGGAAAGAGGGTCATGCACGAAATTGCTAAGATGAGATTTACACGAAAAAAAGACAAATGTGGAGACGCAGATGACTGTGTACGATGGTCTTGACATCCTTGATTGGAAATGGGGTTGTCTGGGGCGCCTCATGGGAGAGGTCATGGTTTGGACGGGATAATGATGTTGGGAGTAATGTATATCAACATTCTGAACAATATAGCTACAACATAGAAATGTGCAAAGTCTATAACAACTTGCTGCTGTTGACGCATGGATGTAAATTGTAGAAGTTAAACAATCGCAAGAGATGACAAGGAGCTCTCTTACCCTGAACTTTACCAACCCCCAATGGAAGATCACAAAGTGCTCTTACAGTCAATATTGTATCACTGTAGCATTGGGGAGGGCATTGGCTAATTAAAAAAGAATGAAAGAAAGAAACTGGGATGAAAGGGATAGAGGGAAAAGAAAGCCGAGAAGTAGGTGAAGTGATAAATCCCTTATGACTCTGACGATGTGGGTTTAACACATGACTGAAGCTATAACTCATTTCCTCTATAATAATCAAACAATGTACTGAGCGAAAAGTCGTGTCAAGAGATGTCGTTTGGGAATGGGGATGTCATCCAATCAAATTGCTTTCAGAAGGAGGGATGGACAAATGTGTAAATGTTTGTACTTGTTTATCCTTGGCGAAAAATCTTGGTTTCTCATTTTGTTGTTGACTGGCAAATTATTCTTCTTTTCTATCCCCAGGAGATTTTACCCCAAACCCACTCCCTCCACAATCGAGCAACTTTATGGCTCATATCTTTTTCGAAGGAATAAGCGCGATGTAAACAATTTTCTCAAATAATGTTGCTTATTCAAAATCAAAGTGAAAAAAATTACTTTGTTTCAAGGACATAACACTCCTTAACAAAGCAATAAAAAAAAAATCATGGATACAGACTACAAAAAGTGATACTGATTTTATAAGATTAATATTGAACTTGTTATGTTGATTACACGGATAGAATCATTAAACTGACGGACCAGAATTATGATTTGCTATTCCTCACTTTAATACTGGACTGCTCAATGCATAATAAAAGGAGCAATGTTTAATTTTTCTCTCTCCAAGAGATGTGTGTTTGACATTTTACTTTCATTGATACGTAGAAAATGTGTTCACTTTCACACTTTGAACGATCCACTGCCTGGCTCGAAGTCATCGCCAAAGTAGGTTAAGTTGCTGCTTCTTGGCAGTTTGGATCCGTTCGTGTTATCAAGACAGTATGCAAGAACATGAACATTGGCAGTATGAAAGAACATTGACAGTATGGAAGAACATTGAATGTATGCAAGAACATTGACAGTATGGAAGAACATTGACAGTATGGAAGAACATTGAATGTATGCAAGAACATTGACTGTCCACCAGAATGATGTCTTTCCTTCAGACTTATCATCAATCATCCTAAAAAACTTCCAACTCTTGAGGGAGGGGGTGAGAGTGGGATGTGAAGACCTTTTTACCATTCCGGTCATATCAATTTATTTACTCCCCCGCAACATGACAGCTTATGATATAGTTCTCTTCCCTTCTATAGGTTATACCTCGAAGGATCCTTCCTGTTGATGTGTCAGTTATTATAGATATTATGATAACGTAACCTTATAATAATGATAAATGATATGGGTACCAATGGTGCAATCACTGTGAGCTTGCATCATAAAAACGAATATTTAAATCGACATAAGCGCCCTCAAATTAGAAGTATGACATTAAGCTTTTTACCAGAGAAAGTGTGATTGTTATTTCAAATGTAACCTTGCAACTGATTTCAATACCTGGTGGTTTACTCTGGCGCCATTTAAGTCATAGTTCTTTTTTGATATACTAGGCAGTTTCGGTGTGGGTCTAATAGTACAACACGTATTACTTGTGACAGAGCTATTATTTTCTGTATTTGAGACAAAATGCTGAAGGTTAATCGGCGCAGCGCTAGTCTACTCGCAACGACAAGTATGAAGGACATATCACTACGGCTAGTCATTTTCTCGAAAGAACCTTTCTTCTCGTTTTTTCTTCCATGACTGAAGGCATCAACCTGGTAAATTACATTAGAAAAATCACGATTCGATACGTGAATGAAGAGACGATGTATGGCTCTCATTTCGTGGTGTGTTTTTTTTTCTGCTTCGTCTTTTATGGAAAAGGTGATAAAGTCTGAAGATGGTCTACGTGTGTGGATGAAATGCCATTTGATGAGACAGTCCGCAGTTGAGCCATGGCCATCCATTCTCTTTTTCATCCCTCCACCCCACCAATGGATTCCATTATGAATAGGCCGTGTCATGTTACTCTATTTAGCACGGCTAGGAGGCTGTGGCGAAGAGACGTCGGCGCGTGCTCGCGAAAGAAAGTCCATGAGATACAACAAAATGAAAAAATATCATGTCGGCGAACGCACGTCCATCACGCCTTCGCTTATTATCATCACAATACGGCCAAAAGATGAAAAGACGGTTCGATTTAATATATTACATCACAAATCCAGCTTTTGTAATGATTAAGTAACCGTCATGCGCTCTAGAAAAGATGGCTCGTGGAGGCACAAAACTGACCATCAAAATGATGGATGGTAATTATCGATTCATAACGTGTGATATGAGGGGTACAATAACCCATTTACTTTGTCAGAGATGGATGCATTTGTAGAGATTTGCTCTATACTGATGATCTTTTGGATCGCATGTCAAAAGGTTCATTGGATGATATGTACATTAGTCATTAGACCGATTATGACCGGGTATACCAAGCTGGCTAACTCAATAGAATACCCGGGGCAGGTTGGCCGCTTTCTCTCTGATAATACACCGATATACTACCCAACCTATTCTCACTTCATATACGACCATGAGAAGCATTAACAAAAGGGCACGGTCGTAACCAGACACCGATATTGGAAATGGCAATCTATTCCTCAAATATGAATAAGATGTGGTAAAGGTATTAAATGATTTAAATTCGCCCTTTTAGTGTATGACTGACAATGAAACTGGCTTTTTGCCGAGATTGATTGAATACTTTTTTAGTTTCTACCTTTCTGTTTTCGTCTATCTTGACGTTATATACATCATTCATCTTAAATCTAATCTCTTTAATGCACGTTGGATACCTTTCCCGTAATACAAATATATCTGCCCGCAATTACAAATGAAGATGATTATAAAAGTGGAGAAAGTGAAATATTTTGAAACAAATCAAACACCCTTTAGCACATTGACTGTTTTGAAAAATGTATTTATAAAGACTATACATTGTCTATGTGTTAGGCAAGCGTAATGCAAGTAAAACTAGTTGATCTTCTACAGATTGACTTTCAAAAAGTACGTGATGTTTTCCCCTTTCCGTGAATATCATCCATTTTAATGTCATGTAGGAGAAACCTTGAAAAATTGGAACAACCTGGGCCCGTGGCTTAAAACTTACCACTGATGGTAACTACCATGGCGACGTCACTCAACAATGAATCAAAACAAGGTTTCCATGGAAGTTACCATGAATTGCAAAGATACCGTCAATGCTAAATTTCATGCAACGAGGCCCAGGTTTTTCAAAGTTTTCGAGGTTTCTCCTTTGTCGGCATAGGGCTTAGCCGGAATACTCCTCTCCTCACAACCCCATTGCAGGGGAAAGTTATTAACACTTGCACCCAAGGTACAACCCGTCCCATCCGTTCGGTAATAAACGGTGAAATTTAAACTATGGCTTTCATTTCTTCCCTTACATTTATTATATTAACCCATTGAATAAAGCATCTCTCTTAAACCATTTTGTTACAACAGAATCGATAGTCAAGTAGCAATATCATTCAATCTAAATCATTTCAAAATCATCACCACAAAAAAATTATTATATTCAGAGTACACATCAAATAAAAACGTAGTATTTAGAATGGTATAATATTGAAATCATCACTTATTACCATAAGTTTTTTAAAGAAGACGCTGGAGGGTAAGACGCGAACTATTTCATCGAATCCTCACAAAAGTTTTATTGTAGCAAAGAGACAAGTAAATAAGCTGTTGAGAGGAATTATCATAAGCAGGAAACACAAAACAGTGAAAAAATTATTAATGGTTAAGGCCCATATGTTGAAATGTAATGGACTGTAACAGAAACAGTCATATTTACTGGGGTAGAGGAATTAAGAACAGAAATAACCAGAGGAATGAGGCAGCAGTAGACGCTCTCAAATTATTGGCCTACATGCAGATAAGGCCTACATCGACTGATTTGATTAAAGAACCAGATAAGGTGGAAAAAGTCAAATTTGACTGAATGCCAAAGATACAACCAAAAGCAACATCTTGCATAGATTATACATGTAGTTAACAAGGAGTGGCGGAGCGTAATTATACGTCAGGTTCTTCAGCACATTGTGAGACACTTTCCCAAGGGTCGCACTAGAACTTTAAAATGGAGGGAGCAAAGCAATCGAGCGGAGTTATAGAAGGATAAAACATGTCATAATGTCCTTTTCCCTCGTTAATATTCTTCTAATTCACTTAACCGTCATCATTTGTTGGCAATTGATATGTACGCCACAGGTTGCTTTATCATTGCAAATAGAATCATTCAAGAATTTCATTTTGATGAATACACTATTATAGAAGAACTATAAAAGTTGATCACGAATGAATAAGGAACGATTTAAAGTAGTCGGATATTAGTAGTAGATTGTTGTATAATTTGATTTCGTTACTGTCTACTAACTTACTTAACCTCAATACCATCTGACTATACTAACAGTCATTCTGTTCATTTTGTTTCCCGCTGCAGCCTACAGTCCACAATGAACACGCTATCGCAATACCTTCTTCTCATCTGCTCGCTACTGGTTTTCATCCAGAGCTACGCTCTCCCAACATACGACAAACAGAACGTCGACGAACTCCAAGGCGACAATGACATCGATGAACAACAGTTAGAAATGTGGGACGCGATGCAGGGGGGCGACAACGATGACGTCTTCTCCCGATTAACGAGGGGTGGAGAAGCATTCAGCCGTGACCGACGTCGCGTTTGCGTCAGCGACTGCAGTTTCTGCCATTCTTTCTTCCCAACCTACAAGCTCGGAAACTGCTTCCACGGGTGCAGGAAAGGATTCCATGATCTGGGTTGCAAGCAGTTCCGCTATTAAGCTCCCGCAAACTATGTACATTTAGGTTGATCCTTGAGACACTTGTAACGTTCCTTTTCAGTTCGTCTAGTATACAGTCCTTTCCTTGGCGTCCCGTGTAGCGATGAAAGTAGCTAGTCCCTCGCAAATGGCCCTACAAACTTGACATAAAATGACATCTCTACCAAACATAACATGGCGTATCAACGGATCCGAGCCTGTTTGTATTGATATCCAGCAGTTTAGAAAGAGAACATCCACAAACGTTGGAAAATCGCTATTTTTCTGTACATAATGTATTCTACAAATAACTGTTTTCGCTCTTGCATTGCCCAACAAAAAAATTACGTGTGGTTTTATGAGACAGATTGATTTTCGTCAAATCATGTGCTATTTATGTGCTGTAAAGTTGCCATTCACAAGTTCTCTTATCTCATCTACAACGGTCTGTCTGGTGGACACTTCTACTTAGTAAACTATGAAGTTGTCTATATTGTGTAAGTGCGAATGTATCTGTTATATATGTTACCCAGATAACGTTAACGTTAAAAGGGTTACCATCGTTACTTTGCATTTATGTATACATGATTTAATAAAATTCCACAAAATCTCCATACTGAAGCATTTTATTGGCCAGAATTGTTAAATCAATTGATAATAATAATTATTGTTATTATTATTATTGTTACTGCTACTATTATTATTATTTTCATTTTGTAATTAGTATTGTTGTTGTTGTTGTTAGATAGGCTGACTCGTCTTAATTCATAGACTTACAATTCCCAAACGGCGCAACATCAATGTTGACATTAGTATTATTTGTGCTCATTTTAAATCCTGTTTACAGTTATTAAAAGAATCATTGCTCATTCAAACAAGAAAAGTAAAATAATGTGAAAACACTGATATCCCCAAATGTTTACAGATGTCAATGATTTTTTTAATAGTCTTTGCCAAATTTCATAAAGTATTTGTAGTACGTATTAAGATTATGAAATGGTAGTATAGATGAATATTACCACAATAATTAGCATTATTATGGTCTATATGCTTTATATTTGTATATGATGTATCATAATCATTATATGTTGATTTTATTTATTGAATTCTTCAATACCAAATAAAGGGTTCATATTTTCAGCTCCCACTTTCCAGTCTGCATTTGTCATTACAGTTTATTATACATAGGCCTATACCAACCTTTGCTAGGAACTGGTAGTGAGTAAACTCGTCTATTGGCCTATATAGCAATCAATGCTCAAATAAAAAATATAAAAAATATTGATTTCCTTGTGGAAAAAATGTTTTAAAGAAAACCAGATGACAATTTCCGAAGTTGATACGTATTTCAAATGAACGTCATGTGATTCAAGTATATAGCTTCTAAGAGAATATTATATCAGGACATCATTTTACCAATATTTCATTTCCCCTCGCCCCAAAGAACATGAGTTTGTCACATACTTGCGTTCTCTGCAGATTGGTATGATAAACAAAATTATAATTTGACATCAATGAATATATGGGTTCATACTTATACACACGCACACCCACCACTAACACAACCGCAAACCACACATACCCACGGTGACGACCCACCATGTTCAACAGTTGTAGTGCACTCCTTACGAATATGTAAATAATTATATATTAATATCTTAAACGTGTTTGAGAGAGAGAGAGAGAGAGAGAGAGAGAGTAAGAGAAAGAGAGAAAGAGAGAGAGAGAGAGAGAGAGAGAGGGGGGGTGAGAGAGGGGGTTAGAGAGAGAGGGGGGGATGGGGGATTAAATACTAGTATTTAACGAAAGAAATGCTCACTGAGATAAAATAGTATGTGAATGTTTTTATTTATTGATATTCTGTTGGGCTAAACCAAAAACAGACAGACAGACAGACTCAGAGAAAGTGAGAAAGGAAAAGGGTCAGATAAAGAGAGGAATGGAGGGGAGAAAAAGGCGGAGGGGTAGAAAATGAGAATAACAAGAATCGACCACACCTGCACTTAGCGTGACAATAATGCAAGGGGACAAAAAAATAAAACTTCCTTTTCAACATCCACCTATTTGGTGATCTTCTGGTGAAGGTTAATTAATTTTGTTGATCTGTTTCCTAACATACATGTAACTCACTTTTTCTTGATTTGTCTTTGCCAAATAAATAATAATAATATTAATTTCATCATGCACCCAGTAAAAAGACCAATACCCTTTCCCCATGATGGTATTACCATCGAAATGGCTGGGCCCATGCTAAGCCACTATTTATTGTACACATTCCTTTTTAAACAGTGACGTATCCAGACGTCGATTCTGAGAAGATTATTATAAACTTTATTTATCAAGAATTAATTATGTTCTCCTTATCACGTCATAAAAATAGGTAAACAAATTTGTACAATTTTTCGGCAACAGTGTATTTACCAATTCTGAAAATATAAATGATCATGATCGGCTTCTTGGCGCCTAAAATTTAACGTGCAAGCAAGATAAAATTATAGAAATTATAGAAATTTTTCTCCGTTCATGTTCAAAACTTGTTCAAACATATTTGAGTGCATCGAAATTAACTAACTAATCCGAAAAGACTAATTCAATAATCAAGGGCGTATCCAGCATATGGGCGGCGTACTCTGCCCTATGTTAATGAAGAAAAAACAGTTTTATAACCAATAAAAAGTCCGGTATGCTTCAGATAGAATCAAATTATGTGAATCATTTCAGGAATTGTTTTTTTTTTTTTTTTTTTTTTTTTTTTTTTTTGGGGGGGGGGGGGGTCATACTAATAGAGACCCCCCCCCCCCAATCCTCTCCCGTGCTGGGGTGAATACGTCATTGACGTACAGACCTACCTCCACAGGCACAATTCCCCAGTTTGTTTTTATATATATATATAGTAATGGTTTATTTATTCAAAATATGCATAACACAGCCCGGAGGCTGAATTGTAAAATATTTGTACAAAAGTATTTATTAAAGAAATACACTATATGCAATTGCAAATTATTCAAGAATATAATACTAAAGAGCACATGTGATTTTTTTTTCTTTCTATTTCTCTTTTTCTTTACACCATTTACTTTTATTTGAATTATTAACGTTTGAGGCGGCACAAAAATCCGCATCATCACCACTCTTACATGATAGTTGCAGGCCCCGCGGAGCGTTTTTCAACGTGGGGGGAGGCAAAAGTAATTACGATCAGGAAGAGCATAGCGAGCGAAAATTTGCGTGGTGTCCAGGGGCGGAGCCCCGGAAGCTCAAGGGTTTTAGGCATTTAATTACGGTCAGATGAGCATATTTTGATACCTTAGTTGTGAACCTGGCAGGTCACTAATTTGCGTAGGTTCCAGGGTCGAAGCCCCCAGAAGCTCAGGGGTTTTAGGCATTAAATTAAGGTCAGATGAGCATCCAGGGGCCCGCCTTAGTGCCCCTGATGGGATCCAGGGGGCAGAGCCCCGGTAAGGTCATTGGTAGGTCATTATCCTTTATTTTTTCTTTCTTTTTAAGTCTCTTTAACATACTTTCCCCCCAAAAATGAGGAGGATCGGACCCCCCCCCCCCCTCTCCGAGCCCCGCCGTTCCGCGTGCCCTGACAAGTAGGCTTCTATTCAAGCATATTTTTGCCTGACTGTAAATGTGGGAATTTGTCATTTTCCAACAAAGGCATAAAAAAGTATAATTTACTTAAAAGGTCCAAGAAAATCATGTCATTTCAGCAACATTTTGTAAACCACTCTTTTGAATAAGAAATAAACCACGTTTAAATCCCCCACCCCCTCCCATCCGTTCGCCAGTGTGAACATACCTATGAAAAAATAAGAAAGATGTAACTTCCTTCCTCTTCTGTAGTTATCTGACTAACATATGACAAGATTTCAATCTTTTTACATTCTTGATTGCTTTACGTGTAGCTAGTCCGATGTCAAACTAAAATCTACTTGAGGGCGTCAGACCAAATCTGACATGTTGTCAGACATACAAGTGATATTATTTTCACAAAATACAAGGGAGAAATACATACCATCATACTGGAAAGGATTTAGGTGTTGCTGTTTTTAAGAGCATGTTTAGATCCAGGGTTAGGAAGAACAGAACCATCTTTCCCACTCCCTTTTTATAATTTATTTGGGGAAAGACGTTTTCTGGGGAAAAATCTCTACTACCCCTTGTCCACCCCGGCTGAGAGTTCATTTCAAATCCATATAACTGGGTGAATGGATATGATTGATGTTGTATCCCTTCCCGGGTTCTCCCTGTGCGGTATTTAATTAAATGAGGTGGAAATGATTCCGAAGTGCAAAACCATTCAGTTCGGAATTTCGAATAGCAACATGCAGGAAGAAATGTCGGATAATATCATCCGTCATTTTTTTGACAATAATTATTAATGAACATCGGTCACTTTATTGACAGTTTCCGTTCTCTTTTAATATGGCTGCAAACATCAAAGAAAGATTTCTCGTTCGTCACACGTTTTCATCACCCATAAAGGTCAATAAATAAAATCATAAATCAGTCAGACAGTCGCTCCTTATATAGCATATACGGTATTGTCCATAAAGTTGGAAACGTTTTCTTATCTCTTTGTGATAATAAATTACATATTTTGTTCATGATAAAGTTTCTATCCTGTAAAAAATGTATTGATCAATAAAGACTAAGAGGTGATATTATAATCATTAACATGAATAAATCATGTGCGTGTGTGTATGGTATAAATATTGGGTGATGAAAGCGTATATATATATATAATACATGAATTGTATTGTGAAAGTAAGAATCGAGCAAAATATAACGCAGGCGATCTTTATGTTTGTTAGCTTTCATCCTTTTCGGACTTCTCCAAAAAATTAACCTAATATGGCGAACACCCCAAATTGTGAAATATGGGCCTATATTTCGAGAAAATCCCTATAAACATGGCTAAAAATTGGTATATCTTTTTCTGCCAAGATAACCCTTAAAATGGGTATAGGGGTTCGAGGCAGTGGCGGATCCAGAGCCCCCCCCCCCCCCCCCCCCCCACTGAGCGAATTATCGACCAGCTGTTTCGCAGCTAATATTTTCTCACGAATTGGGCCCCCTCTCCTGCCGCCGGCTGGATCCGCCCCTGGTTCGAGACTTGAGCGGCACATCTCCGTCCAAACCAAATCTGAGTCCCCCCCCCCCCCCCCCCCCACCTGGACAATCATGTACAATCATACAGAAGGCATGGCATGAACTACCAGAGCCCTTACCGGTACAATAAGTAGAAATGTGAGAGAGAATAATCATTTAAAGGCCCACTGCACTACTGGTAGCTACTTGCGCCCTCTATATAACAAACAATGCCTAATCGGTGACCATTGGTCCCCCATGATCCTCTTTTTCTTATGTTAACTGAGAGCTGAGTTGATGAGATAACCACCTGTCCAGTGACCTTGCAGAGCGGTCTAATCCCTCCTGTAAACTATGGCAGATAAGCTTTAAATAGACATTACAGTAGATTATAAAGTATTTAATGATACATTTAATAGAAATTCCTGCATGTAGAAATACTTGTTTAAGACAGATCATGTACTTAACAGTTAAAGAGCAACCGCGGTTTTTTGTTTTTGTTTGTTTGTTTGTTTTTTGTTTGTTTGTTTGTTTGTTTGTTTGTTGTTTTTTTTTTTTGGGGGGGGGGGCGAATCACTTATTACAGAGCGCTCCCTATGGAGATGCAGGGAGGGGGAATCCCCCCCCCCCCCATTCGTGTGAAGCGCGGAAGCTTTTACGTTTCATTAAATTATTAGAAAAAGAAGACGTCTTTTCAAAAATAATATTTGATTCATTGTTAAACAAGATTTCGATTTTTTTTTTTTTTTTAAAGGAAATCTTCAGAAATAAACATCATGCATGTGATAAATATATTGACGTTTAAATCAACCAATCACCAAACAATCAGCATTTCATCATAAGATTTCCATAATTGCTTGCGGGAAATAATTATGTTAGTCATTATTTGCCGCATTATTATATCAGAGGAGCTCGATAGTCATAGTTTTGGGTAGGTACGCATTATGTTATGTCGAGCTGGACGAAAGGTGAACTGCGTTTGGCTGGGCTGATATAATTATGATGGCTATATAGAATTCAAAGCTCATTTCACAATTACATTTTCAAATAAAGGATAATATGTGATACATATCTGTTGTTTCTTGTATAATCTTTTTAACATAGTCTTTGTCATGTTTCTTTGTCTGCTCCTTTTTTCTTCCTACGTCCTCTTACTTTTTCTCTTTCTCTTTCTTTCTCTCTCTCTCTTTGGGGGCCGGCGTTTTTTAGGGGGTCACCGCCCCCATCGTCCCCTGGCTACGCCCTGTGTTAAGTCAAATAAAGATCTTTAATTTTGTTTAATTCCATGCCAGATTGGTATTTGTAAGGGGCAGTTTTACCTTGCCCCCTGATCTGTAATGGTTTGAATATACCTCTTTGTCTATTTGCTTGATTAGGAATAGGCTTAATTGGCCTAATTTGTAAACAGTTAGTATGTTTATTGTTTAAATTTGCAAATATCAATACAAATTATAGGGAAGAGGATTATATATACCTGGCCTTCTTATGCGTCTGTAAATGAGTCGCAAAAAAATTTACACCGATTTCGGAGGTTAAGGCAACCTTTTTAGCGAGATCAGAGCTTAGACATACTAGGATAAATCAGAGCATAGAGATCTTATCTAGGATCTCGAGCGCTGGGATCAGACAGGTTGGAGCACAAAATGGCAAGGGGTTAATTCAGCATTTTGGCGGTAAAATGAAAATAAAAGAATATCCTAATGCCTTCACAATGAATGTCCCGACATGCCATGAGATGGATCCTGACCCCCATTTGCCTTTGAAAGGGTGCTAAGAGCAAATCTTGTAAAAAATCGGAAAACACCGCTTATTGCCAAAAAATGGCAAGGGGTACGTTAGTTCAGCATTTTGGCGGTAAAATGAAAATAAAAGAATATCCTAATGTATTCACAATGAATGTCTCGACATGCCATGAGATGGATCCTCACCCCCATTTGTCTTTAATTAATTAATTAATTAATATCGTAACCACTTTTTCCGTACGAGATCCATCAGAGCCAGCCATCGCAATCCAAGTATTGATAAGAGCATATGCATCAGAGACATCACGCCCTCTATCAATCAAATGAGAGCATTTACCTTCTGCTTTTATTTTGAAGCCCAGCCCCGCCAAATATAAGACAGAGAACAACTTTTAAAAATGACAGAAAACGGCAACTGGCATATTCTCATCCCTCAGAACCTGGAAAAGACAATATGGACAGGCTTGATTAGAGTTGAAGTGAGTAATATTCTATTGATGACCACCAACACTGTACACGTATGAATGCACCTTCGACCTTCACTGCGCTGAACGCCAGGCCGCCGCCTCCCGGGCGAAGTTCTGTGGAGTATCGTATTCGTAGGTCGACTCCAGGCTATTATGACATTACAATTTACATTCATAATCATGGTAGCCTTCGTACAGGAAAAACCCAATGGACTATAGGTATAGGCCTACAGTAAAGCCGACTGTTAATTATATCCACTCATTATACTGTTCTTGTTAGCGTTATATAGAAGCTAATTGTCTGTACAGTAATTACTCCTTGACCTTAGGCAGCTAATAAATATAACGTCTGTGTAATCAGGATGGGGAGTGTGTAGGTCTATAAGGCTCAAGAGTGTTCTGTTCACACTACCAGGAGCGTCAAAGGAAGTGATTATAGGAGTGAGCAATTGTTGTTGTTTTTTTTTTTTGTAATGGCAATCGGTCAAGACCAGACTATTATTACCAACGCCTTTCTTTTTAATATTAATTTCTTTCTTTCTCTTTTTTCTCTCTTGTTTAAATAAGAGTATCAAAAATAAAAATTAAAATATAGTCTTCTCTCTCTTTTTCTTTTTTTTTTCTTCCCCCCTTCAGTGAGAATGGGAGTGTGCTTTGTTGATTAATGCTATGAGTTTTCAGTGTAGTGATATGAGTGTGGGGGGCGGGGAATAAGAGATAATGAAAGAAAATGGACCCCCTTTTTTTTTTAGACACTGTTCTAACTTCTAACTTGATTTTAAAAAACTTCAAGCAGACAGATTCCTCTCTCTAGTCTAGTCTAGATCTACAAGAGTAGATCCATCATCAGCATTTTTTTCTAACATTCTAATAAAAATGTGTAAGTTTAGGTTTTATAACTTGTTAGTAAAATAAGTAAAATCTAGCATTTACACAACCCCAACAATGAGATATTGAAACAATATTGCAGAAGTGCGTGGTTATTCGGGTAATGTTTCAACAACCATATGATTTTGTTTTAAAAGTGGAAATATAAATTTTTGTGATTGGCTTAAAACCCTTCATATAAAAGAAATTGTGACAAACTCCTCCTAGGGGATTTCAACTTTCCTGAAATAGACTGGGAGACAGAATCATGCAACAAAGGATTGAATCATCCTGCCAGCAAATTCCTAGAGGCAACACGAGATGCATTTCTTATACAGCATCAGCACCAACCAACTAGACATCGCTTTGGTCAGCAATCAAATGTATTAGACCTTGTGTTTACAAGCGAAGAGGACATGATACCATTCATTGAAACAACAGCAGGAATAGGCAAGAGCGACCACTGCACTCTGATTTTTCATATCAGAGGAGGACAAATCAATGAAAAAGAAAATACTGTGAAGTATCTCTATGCAAAGGCAGACTATGACAGTATGGCAGACAAACTAAGCAAAATTGACTGGAAAGGCGAATTTTCCTCCAAAACTATGGACAATGCTTGGAATTTCTTTAGAGACAAGGTGCTAGAGGTTTCAGACAGATACACTCCAAAAAAAGACATCAGAAAAGGTCAATGTAAGAAACCATGGATGGACTCAGCCACATTGGCAAATGTCAAAAAGAAGCACCAGCTTTACAGAAGATGGCGACGGACTAAGACAGAAGAGGACCGCAAAATGTACACCCGAGCAAGCAACCAAGTTAAATGGAGGTGCAAGAAGGCAGTGCAAAGATTGGAGAAAGATATAGCATCTGGAGTCAAGGAAAATCCCAAAGCCTTCTGGTCATACGTTAAGTCTAAAACAACCGCTCGAGAAAGTATCGGCAGTCTTATTAAGTCGGATGGAACCACTACTGAAACAGACATAGAAAAAGCCCAAGTACTGCAAGACTTCTTTATTAGTGTGTTCACCCGCGAAGACTTGCAGAATATGCCGACTCCTCCTGAAATTGACTTTGAATCAGCATTAACAAGCTTTGCTGTCGTACCATCAGACGTGTTCGAGTTGCTAAGGAATCTGAAACCAAATAAGTCTCAAGGACCTGATGGATTGCATCCACGTTTACTGCAAAGGTTGGCAGGCGTTCTTGATGTGCCACTTCACTCTTGTTCAAATTGAGCTTAGAAAAGGGAGAATTACCCTTGGACTGGAAATCAGCTAATGTTACACCCATTTTCAAAAAAGGAAACAAGCAAGAAAGCAGGAACTATAGACCAGTGAGTCTCACATGCGTTGTGTGCAAGATATTTGAGTGCATGGTGAGAAAGCACATCATCAAACACCTATCAACAAATGAGATGTTGTCTGCACACCAACATGGCTTCGTTGCTGGTCGTTCCTGTACCACCCATCTGTTGGAAGTACTCAATGACTGGACACATATCTTAGAAGAGGGAGGTAACATTGATGCAGTTTACATGGACTTTATGAAAGCTTTTGATTCAGTACCCCATTATCGATTGCTGCAGAAAGTTGAAGCCTTTGGCATCCAGGATGAGACACTGGGATGGATCAAAGCATTCTTAGTCGGAAGGAGACAGCGTGTAGTAGTGAAGGGTCAACGGTCGGAATGGTCATCAGTGCAGAGTGGAATTCCGCAAGGGAGTGTACTCGGGCCGCTGTTATTCCTTATCTACATAAACGATCTTCCAGAGTCCAGAATTAAGCTTTTTGCAGACGACACGAAACTGTATGCCAGATGTGACACCGACGAAGATTCCCAGAAATTGCAGGATGATCTGATAAAGATGCAGGAATGGTCAGATACATGGCAGCTTAGATTTCACCCAGAGAAGTGTACTGTGTTGAAAATAGGCAGGTCCCCCTCAAGTTATGATTATCGCATGAAGAATGGCAATGAAACTACAATCCTGAAAGAATCTAAAGTGGAAAGGGATCTTGGTGTGCTTGTTGATTCTAAGCTGACCTTCAAAGACCACATCTCCCATGTTATATCCAGGTCTAACAGGCTACTGGGGGTGATACGAAGATCATTCGCAAACATGGACACGGACACTTTCAAACTCTTGTACATAGGCCTTGTAAGGTCTGTCTTGGAGTACGGACAAGCTGCATGGTCACCATACAGGATAGGTGAACAAAAGAGACTTGAAAGTGTCCAACGAAGAGCTACAAAGATGGTACCTAGACTGAAAAATCTTCCATACGAAACACGTCTGAGATACCTGAAGCTACCGTCTCTTGCCCATCGCAGAAAGAGAGGAGATATGATTGATGTTTACAAGTACCTCCATGGCTTATACACCACTCAGACAAACCTACTACACTTATGCAAGGAAAACAGAACACGAGGCCATACTCTGAAACTAGAGAAGACATTTTCACATCTGGACATCAGGAAATTCTTTTTCTCGAATAGAGTAGTGGACACATGGAATAGCCTATCTGAAGAAGTGGTTAATGCCCCATCTGTAAATGCCTTCAAAAACAAACTCGATAACTATTGGAAGAATTCACCTTCAGTATATGACTTTGAAAGTAAATAGAAGAATGCAGAACTATTCCACCCTCCACACACACACCTCGACACGAAACCACAACAAACAGAAGTATTGATGCAAAGGAATTCAATCGATCGATGAACAGGCTCTGTCCTACCAACATCGATGGATTAAAGTAAAGTAAAGTAAGTAAAAAATGATTAAAAAGACTACTACTAGGTACTTGCCATTATAAGCCAATACTGGTTGCATTGCCTGCTGACTTTGTTCCTCCCCCTCCCCCCTCCCCCCATTCCACACAGCTCGTCCATATTTCATTGTAACAAACCCTTTCTATTTCTTTACAATCCAGGGGGAAGAGTTCCAAATTCAGATTGAGCTTCCAAGAGACAAGAACATCAAACATGCCAGGTTAGAACATTGTGATTCTACTGTAATATCCCTGATGCAGTCAATGTTGCCTTTAATCCACTGACTATCTCAATTCCATAGTCTTTAATGTAGCAACCACCTGGATCCTGTAGGCATATGGTTAAGATAATCTGTATTACCTATGTGATATATATATATATTTGTCTACTTATGGACTTATTTGTTCAATTCCGCTTATTTGTGTAAATTTTATTGTAAATGTGATATTTTCTCATATGGTTTTAGATTCACATTTGTGGAATGAAATTGAAATTGAATTGAAATATTCTTATTTAGAAAAATGTTTGTATATGTTTTCTTAGATCCTACATAAAATTTGCTAACAAACAAATATCGATGACATACATTTCTTATTGTGTGAAAGTCAAGTGATGTACATTGTATTCTAAATGGCATTTTTAAATGACAAATATATTGTGATTGCTTTCTTGCGATCAATGATGTATTATTGTCTATTGTTACCATTTCTGTAAAAGACACATGGATTGGAAAAGAAGACCTTTGGGTTATAGTTATTTAGTAAATCTTTTTCTTTTTCCGGCATCCACGTGACTCTTTTCCAAATGTACTTTTGTTTTGTATTCACTGATTTTCTTTGTTTTCGCCGAAGAAATAATAATAATAATAATAAAATATTTTTGTTCAGTGTTCGGGGAGACTGGAGATTAGTCCGTCACCTCAGCAAGGTTCAAGGCACACTGGAGAGCAGGCTGAAGTCTGCTGTCGATCCCAAAGCCTTTATGCAGGAAGTATGCAGTCTGTTTGATAACATCAAGGTGAGCAAGACTGGAACCCCTTCTCATGGGGTAGTGGACGATTCACCATTGTATCAGAGGCTGGTTGAAGAAGTGGAAACATTGGGCTGGGAAATGTGAGCAATGTTTTTTTATCTTGAGTCTTTTTTGTTTGTTTGTTTGTTTGTGTTCTCCCTTCTTTTGTGATTCATCTTTGTAGCACCTCACTTTTTTAACGAATGCCCATGCATAACTTCAGAGATGATCATTATACATGTATATAGGTCATCCAAAATTCCAAAGTCAACTTAACTTAATTTAAATTGAATCTATTCCTTCAATTCTCAAACCATTTGACCTATTTTATAAATTCTGTCATCACAAACTTGTCCATCCTCTAAAGAGAAAAGTTGCTTGCCAACTGCTTAGAATGCCTTTTTTTTTGTAGAAATATTGTTTTGTTTTATTTTTATTTTTATTGTAGTTGCTATAGTGTTAATGTCAAATGGTTATTCAAAATAATTGTATTTACACAGTATGCACATCTCAGTAAAGAATAAGTAAGGCCCTAATTTCATTATCAGGTTCAAACATAGTGCACCAGCCACCAGTTTGCTGCAAGCAAAGACAAATAAGTTTGAATGTTTCCACAGAAGAAATATAAGCATTAATCAACATTACAGCAAATAAATGCCAGAAAAATGTTATTAACTAACCTTGATGTAGTACTCTAAGCAGTAGAAGATCTTCTGCCTCCTGCTTTCAAAAACAAAATCAGCCATTTCAGCTCAGAAAGAAAGTCAGGAAATCAGTAATGTCTGGAGAGCAGAACCAAAGACTGTGTACCTCTTGGCTTCAAATTGAGGTGTGCCAAATTCTCAGACTGCTACATGCAGCAACCCTCTATGCCATTATGCACAGAACCTGAAACAGGTGCATGGTCATACCTTTCTTTTAATCAACAGAATACCAAGCCAAGACAATTTAATCCCTGGTACAGCTGAATTAAATCACTCTCTACCATCAGTGGCACATTCCAGACCTTCAACATTTATGACCAACCTTACATACACTTCATTCTTCTATTAAATGAAATCTTGTGGATTCTACAAGCGATGGGAATTCTAGACCTCGTAACAGGTTTATTTAAAGTGAAATTATTATTTATTTAAAAAAAATATATATAAAATGAATTTTAGCATGGAATCATAGTTGTATATTTTACCTCAGTTTCCATGCATATCATATTCATTTCGTACCCAAATAAATAAATTTATTATGTTCTATACTATTATTGCTTAGCAATAAACTATATATGATTTAATAGCTGTCACTGCCTTCTAAGTCATATGATTGGAAAACTGAATCATGTTGTTTTCTACAGGGTTACAAATCTGGAGTCTGACTTAAGTCAGTTTGAGCTGACCTGCAATTACTCATCAGATAAGACACACAATGTTACTGTTCAGGTTCATTCAGAGGCACAGGTAAGCATCTACACTAATGTGGTCAAATATTTAACTTAAGATTTACAACTCTAGTGTAAACAACGATAATTTTCTTGTATTTACATGCTTTATTGTCATTCCTTTTCATTATTTTGACAGCTTAATTTCATTTGAGAATATCCTAGTGGCATTGATTTCGGAATGCGCTTGAATGGAGAAAGTGAAATGAACTATTTCAAAATGAATTGATATTGTCACCTTTTAGGTGTAAACTAGATTGCATCGCTTTCGTGTTTAGTTGATTTGGGGTCAAGGTTTATTTGAATTGACTGTCTCTTTGATAGCAATTGTGTGCAAGGGATAAGCCATGACAACAATTCTGAGAAGTATAAATGCTCAGTTGCAATACAGTTGGGTACAGTATCATTGATGTTGATGAGTGTCAATAGGTTTAGGAAAAATTGTCATTTTCTGTCCTCAAACAAAGTCTATGAACACATACACAATCCACAAATAGACACAAGCAACATATGCAAATTCAGGATTGCGTAAATGTTTATTCATGAACAACTATTTGGTGACATGCCACATAATGATGCAGCTATGGTATTGGTATGTTCTACATCTACAAGATTACCACTCATTTATCCATAATTTTCCATTCACTGTAGCACCCATCAAATGCTCCAGTTTGTGCAACCACCCTGCAGGACGATTTTCAACTGCATTGGACACCAAAGGTAGGGAATTATTCCAATAATGATGAGAGAGAGAGAGAAAAGAGAGGGAAAGAGATGAAGATTGAGGTCAACAGTGAGATGTACTCAAAGCAACGATGAGAAGCAAACTGTCTAAAAATATTGTTATTTTAGGGATTGAAACATCTCATGAGGAAGCTTTATTGCAGCTTCTGTAGATTTTATTCACTACTGTTTGATAACTTCTAAAATTGTATACATTGGTACAAGAGTGAAAATTGGTACATCACATAGAAAATTACAATAAGCTCATGCAGTCTTGCCCTAGTTAGTATATTTACATGCAATGATCAATTCATTTAATAATTTTTTTTTTTTCTTCTCATAAATAAATGCAAAAGAAAATAAGCTAAAATTAATTTTGTTCCACTGCTAATGTAATTTGATTTTCTTTTTGTCAATAATATGAAAACAGTTACAATATGAGTGATTTAGATGTAGTGGGAGCATTGTGGTACATTGGTTAAGGCTCATGCCTCTCCTATGACAGGACATGGGTTCAATCCTTGCTTGATGCTAATGTATTCTATGTTTGGTGAATGAACAGTTTCCTTCCTTTTTTGCAGCTTTGCCTCCATGATGTAATTACTCAGTTTGAGGGATTCCTGCTGAAGTATAGATCATTCTGGGAGGAGATGGCAGAGATAGATAACAATACATGGGTTTTAGAACCAGAGAAACCAGGACCAATGGATGTCAGCCGGAGAATAGCTTTAGGTGAGATCATAATTAGTGATGTAATTAAGTATATTTTGGTCTGGGAGAATGGCAGAGGTACATAATAATACATGGTTTCCTAGAACCTAAGAAATCATGCCCTGTGGTTGTTTGCAGGAGATAGCTTTAGGTGAGATGATAATTAGTGATGTTATTATATCCAACTTTTGTTTCAAGGTATATTTTGTTCTGAGAGAATGGTAAAGGTGATGTTTTTCTTCTTTTTTTTACATTGGGAAATTTTCAGGGCTTGTTTACGCCTGATGCAGGAAACCCAAGCAGGTTTTCTTTTCTTTTTTTCTATTTTATGTGCATAGCAAGTGTAAATGGAAAAAAGTAGCTAAGCGCAACAAAGGTCATTCAGATGCTTACTTTTTAATTTGGTGTAATCGTGATTGAGATACATTATTTGATATTAACAGGAGGATGAAACCATTCTGTCTCTAAAACTTATCCAAATATTCTGTTTCTCCTTGATGTTAACTCAATTATAATGTTAATGGAATTGGGACGATTCTCTTATGCAATGATGTATTCACTTCTTATTTGTTGTTATTGTTTTTGTTTTATTTTGTAAACAGGAAGTAACTTCTCTATCCAGATTGTGGTTGATCCAGTCCATCCGCGTATGCTACCACAATGCAGATTCTTAGGGGCAGATAATGGTGAGTACACAATCACAATCCCTGTGCATTCATAGTAATGGCCTTGAATGGCATACAATGCATATATCGCACAAGCTGATTAGCATTATTTAGCAAGTCAGCATGATGGGTGACATGGTTCAAAGCGAGTGAATTATACCCATTACAGTCCTTTTAGGACTACTCAAGAAAGATTACCAAACAGTCCTTTTTAGGACTCCCCAATCCTCCCCGTCACATTTTTACCCTATAGTGTCGCACAAAAGAAAATACATGCAGTATTGTTATATCAATCGCAGAGCCCAATTGATTTTCACACCTTGCCAATCTGTTTGCAGTAACATTCATTATAATTACAGAGTAAACGTACATTGATAAATAATATTACAGAATTTATCAGGTGCATGACAGATGTATATATTGTCTTGGCTTTTGTGCATTTAAACACTTGTGCACAAGCAGGCCATGCGAGATCGAGATGATATTTCATGGTCATCCTGATAGTTTTGGTAAACTAAGAGTAGTTATGATTTGATTTGAAATATCCACATGCTTTTTTAGCAAAAAAACAATGGAATTCACTATGGGAACCTGATGAATCGTATTATGAGCAAATGGGAATGAGAGGATTCAGTAGTCAACATGTTAATCAATTGTTCTTTATCCGTCTTATTTCTTTGATTCTAGTTATCAATCCTGTACGGAAGCTCCTGAATACCAACCTCCACGCTTGGAACAGCCAATCATCTCTGTTGACAAACCTACGTAACATCCTTGAGGTAGACTTCCCCACACCAGCAGAATCCCAGGTTCAGGTAGGTACATCCCCTCCCTCCCCTGACCCCCTCCCCTCCCCCATTACCATAGCTAGTTTTATATAGAGACGGTTGTGGCATTGAAAGTTGCTCTGTATTGGTCCTGCAATCATCCTTCCTAACAAACCTATGTAAGGTGTTTCTAATAGGCTTCCCCATGCAGTATCACAGCTTTAGGTCAGTATTCCTAATTCCCATTTTCATAGCTAGTTGAGACGGAAAGCTGATTTATCTGTTTGAAATTTAGAATGCATTAACAAGTTGTGAAGTTAGTTGTAATAGATATACACGTATTTGTATAGTAAATTATGTTATAGAAATATATGAGCAAAAAAAAAAAATCACGGTATAAGGAAACAAAGGATCGACGATTTGTCTTTATGATATTCCCATATAAGTTCATTAATTTATACAGGGATCAAGTCATGGAAATTAAATTAAATTTATCTTTAACAAAAATTTATATTAGAAAATCTTGATTATAAAATCACTCGTCAAGTGCATTTATTTGCCGACATATACACGCCAGAATATCAGAGCTTGCTGTAAGGCCTGTAATCATTGCATAGTTGCATATCAAGCAAATACTTCATCAATACATATTACAATATCAACATGTTTTTTATTCAAAAACCATAATGTGATACTATCTTTTCTTTCTCTTTTCTTTTCTTTTCTCTTTATTTTGAAGGACTTTAAAGAAGAGTGTGGAATATGTTACTCATATAGCCTTGATTCAGTCATTCCTGATCAGGTCTGTGACAATCCCCATTGCAACAAACCATTTCATCAAACTTGTCTTTATGAGGTGAGCTAGCATTTTACCTGAATTTGTCATTTGAATGAAAACATGTCTAGAGAATAACCACTATGTGAGCCGCAAAGTCACAATGCACAAAGTGAGTCGCATCTTTTTATGTGAGGAATTAGCATTTTACCTATAATTTGTCATTTGAATGAAGGCATGTCAAGAGAATAATCTAGGAAATTCAGACTTATTCCTTAAAGAAAGTTTATTACTATCAATTTGATTTCATCGTGAAAGTAATGATCTGGAAGGAATTGAGAAAGGTTGAATATGTAGTCATATTAGAGTGCAGTTTTGAAATGGTCAAAAATGAAAGAAATCTGCTTGTTCTTGTTGGAAGTAACATGGAGCTACACATACACAAGGCATGAGAGTGCATGGGGACCATCTTGTCACCTATTTCTCGTCATATTTGAATATGAGAAAATATATTTTTCAGGTGACATTTCTATCATGATATTCTTTCTAAACTGACACGGAATGAGAAAACGTTCACCAGAACTCAACTTTTTCAAGTACTGGCTCACGGATATAATTCAGCTTCGTCCTAAAAAATTTGGTGGTCGAGCAACCCCGCCAAGACGTTACAAGTGTTGAAAGAGGCTCAGTATCACAATTCATTTAGTGAGCTACAATAGCAATTCCAATTTATTTTTCCACATTATCAACAACAGGTTGCTATTCAGGAACAAATTGCAAACTGGTGACAGAGATTAGATATCATTTTCTTACATGGTATTTCAATTTATTTTCCTTACTTTCTTATACCCCCAGTGGTTGCGTGCCTTGCCATCAAGCTACCAGTCAATTACAGGTGTAGGGTTCAACATTCTGTATGGAGAGTGTCCGTACTGTTCAAAGGCAATATCAGTGAAGAAACTCAACGAGAGATGACATGTTTTCAGTTTTGCTTTCCTGTATTTAATCTTCCTGGGGGGTGTTTCACAAAGATCCTAAGTTAAACTTATCTCTAAGTTGGACTAAAAAATTATGGAAAGCTGTGAGCATCTTTGAAAATATTTTGTAAAAGTTTTTTTAAGAGGTATAAAATGTTGATTCAAATCAATCATAATATTCTATTATCAAGGAGATTTCATGTTCTTGATCTGGAATTTATAAAAAGTCTAAAATACTTGAATTTTTGCTTTGAACATATTTTATTTTAAGGCTACAAATGGCTCTCCATAATATTTAAGTCCAACTTAGAGTTAAGTTCGACTTGGGATCTTTGTGAAACACCCCCCTGGACACTTTTGTGAACATGTGCAATACTATATTGTTTTTATATTACTTTAATGTATGATGGTGCTATAAAAAAAAATATGTCGGCTGAGTTTATGATCTAGCCCTCATTGTACTAGCTTTTCTAGACTTCATCTTGACTAGAGGGAAGGGGTGACCACCAAAACCCCATGATGACTCATCGCCACAAAGTTTTGCAGACTATAGGTATAAAATAATGAAAAACATCTAAACATAATCATGTTTATAAACTTAATCTACATATATTGGACTTCAAACCAGCAGTTATTTTGTTAAAATTTTGTGAAAGGTCCCATTAACCTTTTTATGAGAAAGGGAGGGGGTGGTGGGGAGATAGTGTCCTCCTAGTCAAAGAATCCCGGATATGCCACTACATTTAATATGGATTACATGTTTACAGAAATATTGTTTACAATTGTTTTTTGTTGTTGAATGAAGCAGCAAATGTCATAGTTAGAAAGCCTTCATAATTGGTTGCAAAAAAACTACTTTACACATGTACTCATTATCCTATTCCTCCTACACCTCCTCAACAAGCCTCAATAATTATTTGTTGGATGAAGAGGTAATTTATTGCAGAATGGAAAATGAAACTTGATAAGACAATTTTCTTGTTGCATTCAGTTTATTCAATGAGTACATTTTGATTGCAGAGTGGAAAATAAAAGTTGACAAGGCAACGTTGTTGTTGCATTCACTTAATTCAATGAGTACATTATAATTGCAAAGTGGAAAATAAAAATACACTTTAAATTATTATTATAGCATTGTTCAACTTTTGCTACTTTAATGATTGCTCAAGAGGCACAAGGTTTTGCATAACTTGAAGCCCTTGCCAGTTCTGTTTTAATAAGTCGCACTAAATCGCCTCAAACTTTTTATAAACTGACTTATTTCCGAGAATAAAATTGTGGACGTGTTCTATTAAAACATTTCTATCCTAAAGTCTTTTAAGTTTTAAACCAATTTCCAGGACAGATTTTTCCCACCAGTTCATCAAATGATGTGTGTGTAACGCCTTTCTAACACAAATATTGTACACTTATTATCATGAACCCTTTTAAGACTTGGGCAGTGGCCAAAATGACAATCATCTATATTTATGCATGAATTAAAGTATATCAAACATATCATTTACTGTATGTAAAAAATAAAAAGCCTTACTCTTGACATATGTACCTTGAAATCTCAGTCTCAAAATCTATTTTTGCAGATATCACTAAGCATACGTCTGTATGTTTATTCTATCTATTGTTTGGAAGCATTGCATGCAATCAAATGTACTAGCAACTATAAACTGAAACACACAAACTATGAAAGTCGTATCTAAGATTTGCTCTGCAAATCTCTGTTTTAAATAAGTGTATTATACACTCGTACATAAATTCACAAATTATTACTGACCTATATTACAACATGTATCTCATTTCAATAAAATTTCAATAAATCTTTAAAGTAAAGCACAAATACAATTTTCAGGCAAAGAAACAGCAAAATTCCACTAAGGCACTGCCTATGGATTTAATCCAACTCAAAACTAGACTCAAAAGTACAGTCACAATACAGTTTATTAAATGAGAGAGCTACAGGAATCAAATGATAAACTGTAAGCAGTAAAAATGGAAGAGTTTTTCTCTTTGTCCGCATAGCTATCTGAACAGTCCATCTTCTATTGCTTGCTAATGAAACAATGAACTCGTCTTCCCAGTGCTCTTAATGTAATCTTTTAGGTAGATTCAAAAAGGCATTTTGCTTAAAGTGTACCATTTAGCATGTTGTGCTCTTAATGTGAGGGGTTCTGCATCGCTATATCGTGTTCAAAATATGAGGTTTGAATATTATTTCTACAAAGAGATGTATTGCAGTTTAAACATAAAAAGAACCTGTATAGAATAGCCCAAAGTCCAAATTGGGTTCTGTGCGTGGAGTTTTATAGTTTTCCTTACTTTCTTCATACTTCCTAACCCTTTTCTATAGTATGCGAGGTAAACTTTTTTTGAGGTTGATTTTATACATTCTAGTTATGCACAACTTACTTCTTTATGGTGATTGGTACACTTTAAAGCTTATCAACACTAGTGTGGCTAGTAGGGATTAGACCACACAGCGAGGTCACTGACAGGTCGCTATCTCATCAACTCAGCTCTCGAATAACATAAGAAATAGAGGATCATGGGGGACCAACAGGCACCGATTGGGGAAGTTTTCTATATAGAGGGAGCAAGTAGCTACAAGTAGGACAGTGGGGCTTTAAAGTATCCAGTTCCTGATGCTTCTCCTCTCATCTCCTGTTTCATACATTCTACACATTCCTATGAAATTATCAGCATTTCAGCTTTTATGGTGCTCTTCATGTTTTCTGTTCCACAGCGTAATGATGGCAGCCTCTAACACGGCTTTTTTGGCAGAATTCTTGGCAAAGTTATTCCGAGGCTTCTTTTGTTTTCCGTTCCACACATTCCAGCCGCTTCTATCATGGATGACTATGAGCTATTTTGATGCTAATTCTCACGTTTTCTGTTCCACCGATTCTATCGACATTTTGATGGCTGCTTCTAACATGGCTGATTCGGTCATACCACTGTCCAGTAGTTCTCCCGTTTCCTGTTCAGCCACGACTGTACAGGATGGGCTAGTAGAGGTCTTGGCAGAGTTGTTGGTATTGCTTTCAACTCTCTCCTTGGCTGTGGAGAGTTCTCTCTTTTCTTCCTCTTTTGACGTGGAAGGCACTTCTGAGGGTGTGGACTGATTGCTTGCAGCTGACGATTGTGTAGGCCCGGGGTTTTGTCTGTAACGTCAAATTTATAAAAATATGAATAAATACAAATAATCTTCAAATTTATCTACCGGTATTCACTTTTATAAAAAATTTAAATGTATTTACTGGTAAATGGCTAATGACTCAAATTTTTATCTGGTATAACTACCACCTGCAAGTAGTCATGTCAAGAGATTTTTTTTTAATTTCTGGATAAAAATGAACGGCTAAAAGACGTACCGGTATGTTGTTTGGGACACATTGCATAGAAATGTCCTTTTTTAATGATACATGGGTCACATATTTTCACAAGTCTTACAAATAGGAAATGTCTGTTCCATCACAAGCTGAAAATAAGAGAGTGAGGTCTTACATAAAAATGGAGAGTTCTCTTCATGTGAAATCACACATATTGCCATTGCCTCTTTCATACAATATTCTTTTTATGAACACAATTACAAAGGATTCTTTACGGGATTCTAACAGTAATATACCCAAGTAACATGACGGTTTTCCTTTAGAACAAATATGTAGGGGGATTTCCCCAACGAAAATTCCAAGATATTAAAGGTACTATGTCCCTTTTGCAGCCAACCTCAAATTCTGTAGAACTTTGCAGGAATCATGAATATGTCATGTATGTCCTATTCTGTGAAATTTAAACGTTAGCAGTGTCCTCATATTCAAATTATGCAAGGAAACCTGTTTACTTGCTAGACTTTACTGTCAGACACTATTGAGTGACTGACTGGCTTTTTTCTTCTTTGGTAATAACATACATGAAAAGAGTTGTAAAGGGTACATGAGCATCTGTCTACATCAATAACCCACTTCTTGTGATGGCCAAGATTAAACTGATTGAATCTTTGCGCAGCATAAAACGTATGACCATTCGGTACAATTGTCTGAAAATCAAGAATATTACTTTTGGGCTCTATAGCCCTAAAGTCGATTTGGCAACTAATAGTCGTTATTTTCCCACTTGAAGACATTTTCAAGCCCCACCTTTTTTAGGGAAGTTCTAAATTAGTATTATATTTCAAATGCAGTTGGAATTTAACCTTTTCATTTTTTTGGCCTGCAAATGGGACATAGTACCTTTAAATAGTAGAACAAATATTGCTGTGAAACAATCTAGCCAAAGTTAGTACAATCATGTACAAATCAGCTTTGTGTTGATTTTACACGTAATATTCACATTATACACAAACTGGTATGCTAAATTGCATCCCAGGATGTTAATTCATTTTCATCTCAAATTATGTAAATATTCCACTAAGCTTTAAGACCAAAAAAAAACATCACATCATCTTTTTCCAATTGATTTTTTTTTGGTATTGGGTTATACAGCACATCATTTCAGAGTTGTTAGTAAACTGCTATTTATGAGGTGAAATTGAGGACACCTGCTGGAAAATATAATTTTACCTGTTGAAAAAAGCTTCTCTTTTCCTCCTCAATTCATCCTGATTGACAGGTTCACTTGCCTCTGAAACTTGATTTTCTGTTCCTAGAAAAAATGTACAGCAATAACTTAAAACTTTAAGCACATTAGAACTGTAATCAGTAGATCATATCCAAGATGCATACAGCAAATCAAAATAATTCAGATTATAACTGTCTGTTCCTGATAATTGTCTTGTATCCTATCAGATATAAATCAGTAGAATCATGAAAAATTGTGAATTGTGCATATATGCAGTGGATATGAGGACATTACAGATCTGTTGGCTCTTGATTATAATAACATTAATTTGCAGGCTTTTTGCAATGCACTAAACCGCAAAATTACTGTATTGCACCCACTTATATAAATATTAACAATAATAATATCTAAGATTTATATAGCGCTGGTATACACATACAGTTTCTAATCGCTTTACAAAACAAATGAAATGAAAATTACGTTTAATCTAAATGAAGTACTTGGACAGTGAAGAGGGCCAGTACTCAAAATGCATTTCATACCTCGTAGACTTAGTTGTATCGCAGCTTGAAGCTCGTCGTCTCCTTTGTACCCCGAGGTCAAACCCCTGCTTGCCTCTAGCGCCTTCTGAAGGTCATCCTGGGTCACACCGACCCCAGTGGATGCCTTCTGATTTGAAGACTGGGCGTCGTCGGAAAGGAGCTTTGGTGGATGGGTCTGAACGGCAGGTATGAGCCGTAGTAGCTGGTCTGCTTCACACTCGGGTAGACTGCCACGAATCACAAATATGGAGTAGCCTTGGATTGATGGGCAAATGATGATCATGAAAGAAAAATCAAGCTTTTTGTCACAATGAAATGGTGAAGTGGAGGTAAACTCATGCATAATAACCTAATCTCTTCTGAAAATAGATGCACATAGTGCATTACATCTTTATTACAAAGTGCTTGTGATCCAAGATGATGCATGGTAATGAACAAGGATGCTTAAATATTGAGAGGAATTCATTTATTTCCTTTTATTCCAGATCACGATCTTCATATCTAACACTGGGAATACAGCAACATATCCACATAAACATTATTAATGTTTTTAATGCAACATTCATTACTTTTCCTTGAATGCATTGAGATAGCAACAACAACATCACATTTTTACAGTTCTCACCTTCCTTTTGCAGCTGAGCAAGGAACATGCTTAAATATGTATCTGATATCAGCTCTGGACCAGTCAACAGAGAATTCAGATTGAACCACTGATTTCCAAGCTTCCTAATCGTCAACCAATGCTCCCGAAAGTTGCATATAAAGGCACATTCTCTCCTGTAGGAGTAAATAGATAATGTAGTATAATCCACAGGAATTTCCAGGAAAACATATGAATTAATTTTAAAAAGGACAACCAGATTTTGGTTTTCAATGTAAAGAGTGATCAATTAAAAAAACATTCAGAACATTTTCTTTTTTCTTTGTCTTCAATTTGATTTTCAATTATTTTTCACTATTCTGTTTCTCTCCTTTTTCTACATTTATTAAAAACCAACTCATTATCAGGGTAGACTTCCCCTTTAACTATACTGCCATGAAGACTATATGCAAAGTGACAAAAGGATCATAATGAGATAAAATTTGAAGAAACAGGATTGATCATTATTTTGTACTTACTCAGGATAAACTGAAGCTATACCAGCCTCTGAGCTACCTATGGGAATACTGACAAGTTCCCATACGAACAGAGCCTTACTGATGACTTGCACAGAGAAGAAGCCACTGTCATCCATATTTGTGGATGGTTGCTGTCATTTAGACAAGAAATGTAAGCAAAAAAAGAGAATAGAAAAGAAGCTGCAATAGTGTAAGAAGAAAAATTATACAATAAACTTTCCTTCAATAACATAAACTGGTCATAAAACATCACTTGCACAGTTTAAATCAAGTTAAAATCATGAATTGTAAAGCTGTGAGTATTTGACAATGATTTAAAATATTTAAACACAAATAAAACACTAACAAAACAAAGATCGTTCATGCATTCAAAGGTCCAATACGATCTTCAACAGTTTAAAATCATGAATTGTAAAGCTGTGAGTATTTGACAATGATTTAAAATATTTAAACACAAATAAAACACTAACAAAACAAAGATCGTTCATGCATTCAAAGGTCCAATACGATCTTCAACAGTTTAAACCTCTGAGAAAATTGAAATAAATTCCACATTTAAACTAAGAATAGAATGCATCTTAACCTACTACACTGTGCAGAAGCAACCTTTAAAAGAGAACATCTTAATGACCTTCAATACTCAAAAATTTAAACCCCAATATTATTTGCAAAAATGTATATACACTGATAAAAAGAATGATAAATTTCTACTGCAATCAGAATCAGGAATTGGCCTACCAGGCTATAATGTCTTTTATTCAATAATTTTGATAGTGCTTACTTCTTGGAACCTGAGGTATTCTACCGAGTCCACTCCACCTTCAGCCATGTGAGCCCCTTCTACATCATCTAGATCCTGAGCAATGGAGGCAAGATCTACTGCACTGAAGTAGGAACCTATCACAGCAAGAGAAAGAAATCAGAACTTTACGGTCAGGATACACTTTCATACATGCTCTTTAACACTTTGCATAAGACAATAAATTGTGGGTCATTTCAGTATTAACAGTTAAAATAGTGAATATTGAGATAGATCACTGAAAATGAAGTAATTGAGAATTCCTCTCTTGATGTTCAACTGAACAGAGCTCTACAAGGGCAGAGTTGAGAACAAAGGCAACAGGATGCAGATGATGAAGATGAAATTTTAACAGTACCCTGAGGGTCATAAAGCAAGTGTTTATAAGAAACCAAGGCATTTTCATTTCATTTCTGATGGACTTGATATTGAAAATTAACAAATTACCAAAGGGTGAGATAGAAGACTTGGTATGTAGAGGAGATGAATGAAGGAAGGAATTGGGTTGAGTAATTGAAGTAAATGAATATGTAAATGAATAAGCAAATTATGTGAAATTAATATGTATAGAGAGAAGTATGGAGTTTCATTTTAATTCTTACTGTCATTGCCATAATATTTCTCTTCATCTCAATTCTTAATGAAGGGTTTCAAGATCTCAATAAAAGCTTTAAAAAAGATAAAATCTCACCTTGCAGTAAAGAATTTAGACAATGCTGGGCACACAGTGATCCCTCTTGCTAAAAAAAAGAAAGAGAAAAACGATGAACAATATCTGAAACAGATATGCGATTGGCAATTAAATAACTATCTTGATTCTTGTTTTAAATAAATTTTGAAATTATATAGGAAAAGACTAGTAAGGTTTAATCAATACATGCATAGATATTCATAAACATAAATAAATTTACCTTGTATTCTCACAAATTGTATCTATTCGCACTACTAATTACCTTTCACATCTGACAGCAGACTGACAGTAATATTAGTAAATAAAGACTGAATATTCTCAAAAGAATGAAACGCTGATAACACCAAAAAACAACAACAAAATAACTTCAGTCTCTAAAGCCGAGGTGTAGGACAAATGTAAGGAAGAACACATTTAGTCACAGAGTGATTGATGACTGGAACTCTCTGCCTGAAGTAGTAGTTCAGGCTCCCACCATAGACGCCTTCAAAACCAGGCTTGATCGTTGCTGGAAGGAACAGTGTCATATCTCTCAGTACTCGAACTGATTTCTTCAATTTCTTTGATCCTGGGACATTGTACATGGTACATTGTCCAGTCAAGATGCAACCTCTTGCCCATCTGCCTCCCTGACTTGTATATAATGAGAATTATTATTATTAGAGTATGAGTACAAGAAGATAGACCAAGAAGATAGTACCTGGAAGTACCTGGAAGGTAAAGCAGCAGTATAGTCGACGGTCACGGTTGTTTTACAGAGACTACATGTGACTCCAGCTCCACTGCAGTCACAGTTTGCACTGACCTGCTGACCGGCTCTAGATATTTATTACTAAAAAGTAAAAGCATAGTCAGTACCGGTATAGATCTAGACTTCTTAATCTAAGCTTAGGTCTACTTACTTAGTAGATTTTCTAGATCTATACTAATGCATGGCAAATGCCATGGGGAAGGTTGAAAAAATGACAAGCAAATGCTTCCATAAAATGTATAGACCTATGTGCGTCCTCTCGCCATGCGAGCAAAAATAGTTCAGGTTCATTTTTTAACGAAGCACCACTCAATGAAACGACCGGAAGTTTCAACAGGATCACCTCACACTTCCGTATAGATCTAGACCTACTGTAGACCGAAAGCTTCAGTCTCTATAATCGTCGGTTGTTCCACTGAGACTACGTCTGGCTCCACTAGACCTCCGGTTATAGAGACAGAACGATCGCCTATGCCAGCCTGTGTTGAACTTATTCCGCTAGATTTTAGCCGCTAGGCCCCTCCCACAAACTTGCCACGGCCGTATTGTTATGCCCCCAAAATCCCCCAAAATGTCATTTTATCTCGTTCATTTCCAATTTTAAATTAGGCCTAGGCTATAATACATCGGTTCCACTTACTAACTTGATTGATATAATCCGTTTAATGGTCCCTTTTAAGGAAATTATCGGTCAAAATCGACATCCATGTTGAAAATCTTGCAAGCCGTGTTAAACTCTCGCTGCCGTCAATCTCATCCCTTCTAGTCTACGCCGAAGGCAAAATGATTATGAAGGAAAAACTGTGCGCCATCTACACGTTCGTAATGGCGTTATCACAGTTTTTCCTTCATAATCATTTTGCCTTCGGCGTAGACTAGAAGGGATGAGATTGACGGCAGCGAGAGTTTAACACGGCTTGCAAGATTTTCAACATGGATGTCGATTTTGACCGATAATTTCCTTAAAAGGGACCATTAAACGGATTATATCAATCCAGTTAGTAAGTGGAACCGATGTATATAGCCTAGGCCTAATTTAAAATTGGAAATGAACGAGGTAAAATGACATTTTGGGGGATTTTGGGGGCATAACAATACGGCCGTGGCAAGTTTGTGGGAGGGGCCTAGCGGCTAAAATCTAGCGGAATAAGTTCAACACAGGCTGGCATAGGCAGTCGTTCAGTCTCTATAACCGGAGGTCTAGTGGAGCCAGACGTAGTCTCAGTGGAACAACCGACGATTATAGAGACTGAAGCTTTCGGTCTAGACCTACTGATGCTGAGATGCTGATGATGCTGATGATGCTGATGCTGACACTTTACCAGACGGTTGTTTTTGTCTAGTGTAGTCTACTGGAGTACTGCATGCTGCATGTTATTGTAATTCAAAAGCCCATTTGATTATTAATTTGTAGACTAGACTCTAGTAGACTATTATAATTAACGGGATGACTTGTATTTGTAATTGTAGATCTAGATCTAACTTATTTTATACAAACCTTTTCATGGAATATTGAATCCATTCTCCTCCTAAAGTTTGAGTAGTTTGGTGGCTTCTTCTACTTCTAGAACTTCTTCCAAATCCTCACACTAGTTCCTGATACTGACCAAGAGTACCGTATGATTTATTGGCCTCTAGCTCCTTGCATATCATCTCAATGCAATCTCAATGTCCAATGGCTCTAGGGTAGGCTCGCTCTCGCGCGGGGCGCGGCGGCGAGGGCTGGCCTAACGTTACCGGTATGTACGTAGTGTTACCTGATTTTTATTTGCAGGTAAGATGAGGTACAGGTGCACGTAAAGTCTATGTGGAAGCTTAAGCCGGGTGTGGAAGCAGGGAGAGTTTATTAGGCCGTGATGGTATTTTTTACAACTAGTTTGAGATAGAATTATGGCAATTTTTAGGCCAATGCACATGCTTGTATGGTATTAAGAAGAGGATCCATATTCCATATTCCTGCAAAATCAGAATACAACGCCCTTATCATAATATGAAAAAAAAAATGCACCCGCAGCTTGAGCTAGATCTGCTACTGTACTGTACTGTACAAGCGTGAATGAATGATGCGCTTTGCGTGGCGGGAATACAAATCTGTAATGATTTATAAATCATCAGCCTCTAAATTGCATTAAATAAAAAAAAGTAGGGTTCTTGGGGTATATAAACAATTCTAATAACACTTAATTTACAATTTGTATTTGTTTTGTTCTAAACAATATTATTTTGTTTTTATATCCAACGTTTTAGTAATTAGAGGCAACTTAAAAATTGGCCACTCACTATCTGCTACCGAAAACTGGTCGGAATTATTCCCAGTCAGCTCACCCAATCAACAACAACGTAAATCAGCTGGGCCATTATTCAAAATCACGCACGCTACTACACGAAAGCCGACCATTAAAATTTTCGAATGTTGACATCGACTCTACTCCAAACGCCAAGATGCCATCAAAACTGAGTGATTATGATATTTTATACACGATTGGGAGTGGCTCATATGGAAAATGTAGAAAAGTACGTCGAAAAAGCGACGGAAAAGTAAGTATAATAACGTGCGATGCGATGGGCATTTAATTTTGTCGCCAGGAATAATTTGGACTTTGTCACACGCCCGAAGCTCGAGGGACGGGACCATGGACGCGGGAGTAGGGCTTGGTCGACCGGTCATGCGTGTGGTGTGGAAGCTAGTGACTAGTGTGGTACTGTTTACTATAAGTGTTTCTGTAGTTGTAATATGTGACTGAGCCGGAGCGGAGGCAGCTTAGTGCGTGATGAGGTGACTGATGTACTGATAGGCCTTATTTTTTGCTTTAGATCTAGTTATTCTAGAGACTAGAGCAGCGTTTCTCAAAACCGTCATAAGTACACAAGTTCACCGACATCCCATTGACACGCATGTATTAAGTTTAACACGCGTTTCAATGGGATGTCGGTGAACTTGTAGTTATGACGGTTTCGAGAAACGCTACCTAAGTTAGATCTATAAATCTAGAACTAGTCAGTAGTGAGTCGACTAGATCAAAGATTTTGAGATCCTGTCCAGATCGACAGATCAGACTTTCACCTGTATTGATGTATTCACATGTCTTTTCGGGCTCCGGCTCCTTAGTAAGACAATGTCTTGTAATGCCCTCCCATAGTTCATCAGTACACCACTAGCCACTGCAAAGAGTTCGTTCCTTAATAATAGTTTGCTGGATCTGTGGGAAGACTCAACAGCACTTTAATCAGGGCTGTCAACCCTCCCGCATTTGGAGCAAATTGGAGGGAGTCTCACGCCACCATGCACATTCTCCCGCCATCCCAATAGCACAAAGCGCCACAAGCACGCCTTTCGAATCTCCCGGTTTATGAAAAAACCTCCTGCCAAACATGGTAGATCTATCCACAATTTGACCCCCAAAAATGTGCTCTTACCCAGCTGCTTATTCAGCAGCTGGCTGAGTCATTGCGAAATTTTTGGCGCCATGTTCAAATTTTAAAACACCCCCCTTAGAAAAAATCGTGTGTACGTCACTGCCGCGCCGTTGAGCAAAACAAAAATTTGCATACGACCTCCCTCAAAGCAGTTCCCCAAATGTGACAGCCCTGCATGCTTTAATACAATCTGACTAAACATCACTTAAGCTTCTAAAAAAGAATTAAATGACGGATTTTAACAAGAGCATGCTTTCACAATTATTTTTTATGTGCCTTAGATTCTCGTTTCCAAAGAAATTGACTATGGCACCATGGGCGAAGTTGAGAAACAGATGCTTGTGTCAGAAGTCAACTTGCTGAGGGAGCTCAAGCACGAGTTCATTGTGCGCTACTATGATAGGATTGTAGACCGCGCCACCTCTACCATCTACATCATTATGGAGTATTGCGAAGGTGGTGATCTTGGCAGTCTCATATCAAAGTGCAAGAAAGACAGGTATATATTAACAGGAGGTGTTAGTGAACTTTGCTTATTATCTGCAAGTTGTTCTGTAGTAGTTGGTGCAATTCATTTAAACTTTTTGAAGTTTGTTGTTCTTTACTTCCAATACTCATTTTCCACATCTAGTAAATTTCCAGAAATTTTCAAAATGCTTGAGAACATTTTTCGAAAGGAAGGGGGGGGGATTTGAGATTAAATGTTAACTTTATTTCAATACAAAGTCACAAATAGCATTATCTTTGATTATAGTGTATATTGTACTTTTCATTCTGTATGTTGCAAGTGCAATTTTCTTTTTGTAGATTTCATGTTAGTTCAGTGAATATACAACGCCTTGTTTGTCGATGCTCAAAAGGAAGAATTCTTACATTTTTTTTTTTTTCTTGCAGAAAATTCTTGGAGGAGAGCTTTGCGTGGAAGATTTTCCAGCAGCTGACCATTGCCTTGCAGGAGTGCCATAGGAGGGGTAAAGGTCGTGCCATCCTTCATCGAGACTTGAAGCCAGCCAATGTATTCCTGGATGCAGATCACAATGTGAAGCTTGGTGACTTCGGCCTGGCTAGGGTCCTTCAGCACGATACCAGTTTCGCTAAGACGTTTGTGGGGACACCATACTACATGTCACCAGTAAGTTTTCTTTTTTTAAAGTTAGCAATGTATGGCATAGGGTCCTTGTCAGAGCATAACATACCCAATGCACATATCAAGCAATGAGTCCCCAAAGTCTTGAATGATAGTGGGAGGGGGCTGTGTTCTTGATTTGTCTAAATGTAAAATTAAATATTAACCATGATTTTCCCCACCTTTGTGTTTGTTTATGCAGGAACAGATGAACAGACTGTCATACAATGACAAATCAGATATTTGGTCCCTCGGTTGTTTGCTGTATGAGCTTTGTTCACTCAGGTGAGGTTACTTGATCTATTCAAACTTTATTCAACCTTTAGAGTGGTTATCTATTATCTTCTTCAAATATCTCCATAGATGGTCTATTTTTAAATGGAAAATTATTGATTCTTGATAAAGATTAAGAAGTGAAGTCATCTCATATAACGCAACTCAAATTACTTGTATGCCTTTGGGTGCAGGATTGAAAATTAATAGAATCTTTCGTACACAAAAAGAAATGAAGAATAACCCATGGAGGGTATCATAGAATTGCAAACCTGTTAAGTGCTTTTTTTAAAATTCTTTATGAAATTTTTCTTGAACTTTCACTTCCCCTTTTAACGCTTGTATTGAAATTAACTTGATGCCATGATTAGATATTTAATTTTTTATAAAGATTGGTTCTAGAAAGAAGAAAAAATCATATCTTGTAAAAATAGATTTTTGTCGCCATTTGCTAGTGCTTTATGAAAAGCATGTTGAAGAATTGATGCATTATTCAAGTTATGGATAATGAATTGAAACTTCAAACTTATTTTGTTATCAGTAAAAGTCAGCGTCTATGTGACTTTTGCCATATAATTAGCAGTGATAGGTTATAATGTATCGTTTGCCATTCTCTCTCTCTCTCTCCCTCCAGTCCCCCATTCACTGCCACCAACCAAGCTGCTCTTGCTGTGAAGATCAAGGGCGGTCATTTCCGTAGATTGCCAGTGCAATATTCATCTGATCTCAATGAGATTGTATCCAGTATGCTCAAAGTAAAGGTAAATTGGGATGTTATTTGGTCAAGTCCAAGCTATTTTTGTCAAGCCAATAGCCTTACTAGAAGTCATATCAAACAAAACATCATATGAAATTATATTTTTATGTCAATCAAATATACATCCAAGTTGAACCTTTTGTAGAGAAACAAGGTGAAGTAAATGGGTACCTGGTAGGAATTTATTTGTTGAAATGAAGCGCGCGTAACAGCTGCTCTGCTAAAGCCAGAGTAATTATGCTGCATTATTGTAGAGTGCTTAGAGACTTCTGATAAAGTAAGTGTTAGGCGCTATATAAGCAAGGATAATTATTATTACTGTGAAGATTAAAAGAAGGTGAGGCTTTCAGTGAGTGGACTTTACTTTCTTGTTCTTTTAACAGCCTTCATCAAGACCTTCGATAGATGAACTCCTGGCAGATCCAAGACTGTCACCTCCACCTTCCCAGGTTTCCTCGGCAGAAGCGCCTAAGGAAGCAGAGGTGGATCTCCTGAAGAAGGAGAGGGAAGCCTTGCTGGCCCGGGAGGAGAGCCTCAAGCTCAAGGAGAGGAACGCTGACAAGAGGACACAGATGTTGAACGACAGAGAGAAAGAACTGGATTTGAGGGAGAGAAGCTTGGCAGCTAGGGAGAGGCTAGTGAAGGATAAGATGTCAAGGTAGTTTCATTTCCGGAATAGCCTTAGTTGTGATATTGAGCAAGTTTCATCGAGCAACTGGTGTAGTAGTAGTGGCATATTGTTGATATCTTTATAACAAGTCAATAGACTTGATAGAACAAGGCGCGGATCCAGGATTTCTTAGGGGAGGGGGCCCAACTTTTTTTATTTTTGCTCCCGAAAATTTGAAAATCGCGCCGGCCGAAAAGTCGCTCAGTGGGGGGGGGGGGGTAGTGAGCACTTTTTTTTTTTTTTTTTGATCCTCAAAAAAAAATTCAATTTGCACCCCCCCCCCCCCCCCTTGAGCGCCAGGGGGGGGGGGGGGGCAACCCCCCAAAAAGGTAAAAATCATGTGATTTTACATGATTTTTTTCTCAAGGATCCGCCACTGGATAGAACAACCCAAACATCATTGTGGGATTTGAGACTGGACCAGTGTTTTGGCAAATACATGTCTGTTGATGAAAATAACAGGACTTTCCTTATGCTGTGAAAACCTTTGAAAAAATATAGGAATAGCTGAAGGAATTATCTCACCATTAACTCAAGATTCCATTTACATGTATTGCTGGTGACATGACATTTGCCCCATCCCAATTTTCTGCTTGCTTTATTTCATTAAACTTACAGGGTTAGATTTGGTGATGCAGATGGGTTCAAGTTAGGAATTGGAAAAGTGTAGAAAACTGACCTTACAGTTTTTGTTGCTGGAGCAGGCATTGCCAAACCATAATCTTGCATAAGAATAGTATAATATTCTGAAATCTTTCTAGTATTGGCAGCACTGAATATTGCTTTTAAATCACTGCATATCCAATTGTAACTCTTGGAAGACATTTTGAATATCCATTTCATTGAAAAAAATTGGCAAGGATCTCTTTATTATCTCAAGTTCCTTCAGGCGATTACAACAATATTTTATTTCATACTTTTTAATATCAGGGCAGAAGAACTTATTGAGGAGCACGAGAAGCAGCAGAAGCAGATTCCAAAGGTCATCACCAGAGTGACAGAGCTGCGCAGGCAAAAAGGTAGGACTTCTCCCGAACATGACCGTGGTTTTCCTTACTTGTGTGCTAGGTATATGATGAACGTGCCTGGACAAAAGAGGTTTTCTACTCCACCATAAGATTCCTACAAGACAAGTCTAATCAAAATTACAATTGTGTATCCTATGACACACCTTTAAAAGGGGCGATCATGTCATAGGGTAATCGTGTCATTTTCAGGTTGGGGATGAGACAACAGTTCTTTTCCTGGGATTTGCAATTGCAACTTAAAGTTCATTGTACTGCAGTTGAGATGTCGCTTGGTTTACATGTACTTAGTTTACTGAAAAACAATTGGATTAGGTTACTCTATAAAAGATTGGCCAACACAACTCTTTCTATATTGAACTTTGAGATACGTCTTGTTCATGGGCCCCGTCTTACAAAGAGTTACAACGCAAGTTGGCAGTCTCCTATCTCTTATACACAGTTGTGATTGATACCAATCCCAAATAAGTTGTGATTGATATCAACTCTTTGTAAGACGGGGCCCAGAAAGACTTTGTAAATGATTTTCCATAATCTCAAATGTGAATCTAGCAGTGTTTATTTGAAAATTCTTGTTTCTGCATTTTTTTTCTCCAGATCATAAATTTAAAGCTTTATCAATGTGAATTAAAATCATGTTTGTTGGATTGAATGAAGCTAGTTCAATTATGTGTTACATTAATTTATATATGATGGTATCATGGTAGTCAGTGGGGTACTTTTTATGTGTAAATTCTTGTATGACTTATTTCAATCATGTCAACTGTTTGTAGACAATGACAAGGGGTTGCCAAAATAAATGATGCTCAAAAGCACAGAATTCAGCAATCAGAAAAAGGTATATAATAAACAAACTTACATACAGTGTACGTACAATCCTGTAGAGATGAAAGAAGATATTTTTTCTTATTGTTTTTTTAGCGTCAATTTCCTAATTTTATTCCATGCGTTTTATAGCATGTTATCCATATTGCATTCAAGGTATTGTAAATACTTGCATTAAATGTGTCTTTTTCTCTGACTGATTTATGCAAGCAACTATATAAAGAAAATGATATTCTTCAATTTCACAGCTTTGGAAATGCAAGAACTTTCAAATGATTTATTAACAACGAAAAATAAAATTTAGTGATTTCATCACAGTGGACAGAAGTTCAAGTAAATCCTTTTTACCTTCTTGAGATGCAAAGCTCACGTCAAGACAAAGGCATCATGTAGTGAAATTTATAATTTGTGCAATACCAAAGGAAAATGCAATATTTTGATACAAGTGTGTTTTGTTAAAATTGTACTTTTATATGTCATTGTGCCTCTGATCAGTTACTAGTATTTACCGGTACAACAAGAAAGGAGGCAAGTAGGCCTAGAGGCAAACACATGGTGATTGGAAAATAGTGTGTTTGTGATGAGCCTTTTTATGTTCTTGACAATGTAGTGTTATAGTGAAGTTCGACATCTTCCTGAGCTCATTTTAATGTGCAATATTTTACAATGCAGTGGATCCTAGTTATGTTATTTTTTTTTAAACTGTTTTTCTATATTAAATTTGTGCAAGTGTCAGATCTTTTTTTAAAAATACTTTTGAGCTTACTCATATTTAACCTAAGAGGATCATAAAAATGGATACATTGTAATGCGTTAATTTATGAAGTTACTTGTACATCACAATTTCTGACAAAGAGGCAGTCGTATACATGTATGTATTTCTATAGAGTCTGATTAACTGATAACTTTTTCATGTAACTTTGTGGTACACTTACATCATGGATCGAGATCAAATAGTTCTTTCCAGTATACATTTATGTTCTTGTTTTATTTTACTATCCGTCATATTTTAATTTTTATGTCATTTAGTTTTTTAATTTATTTTCAATTCATGATGTTGGTGGCATTGAATTTGAGAAATAAAAGGCATCAAAGAATAATAAATTGGGTCTACTTTCATTACTTTAGAGTGCAATTGCCATTTAGTTGTAATTATTACATGTGAATTCATCTACAATATCAATATGCCCAGCCAATGCATGGACATCTGTTTTTTTATCTAGACATCATTGCTTTGAATAGAATGTAAATATGATCTATTTCATAACAAACCAAAATGTTCTCTACTACATGAAATATGGTGGAAAAACATTTTCTTCACATATATACATTTTTTTTAAAGAACAGACCACTGCAAAGCCATCAGAGCAAAAGCTCAATGAAGATTATCACAAAATGTTTATGGAATGATGACTTGATAGTTGTACCAGTATGAATACTCAAGATGTTTAATTGCATTTCACTTTCATCCCTTTTATCCCTTCTGTACATTTCCAGAGTACCTTGAAGGTATGCACCCAACCACCTTGAAGACCAAGAAGCATGTTCATTTCCAGCAAGGGAAGGAAAACAATCCAGCATCTCACGAAGGGGAGCCAGCCGTACCGTCGGCTGATTCTAAGATGACAAATTTGAAGGAGCGTCTGTATCAGGCAAAGTTGAGAGGACTTGCCCTGCGAAAAGCCGAGATGACTTCAAAACTAAAGAGCAAACAGTTGCTTTCACTAAGATAACCTGCCAGGAGTGGACTAGAAGAGTTGACAAAATTTCAGGACACAAACAACTTGTGATCTTATCTACCAAGAGGACTGATAATGTAATTTCAGTAGAGCCCCACTGGGCTGTGCATGGCTAGTTAGAATGGATCATGACAGAAAAGTGACAGATGGAGTGGATTATAGTGCTGCATGATTCCTTATCCATTCTAGGATATAGTTATAATATGCCTGTTTACACAGGATGTTTAAAACCTCTTCAAACAGCTGCCATCGCAATATGAAATGGACTAAGCATAGTTCATTTCATATTTCTGTAGTATTTGTACAGATGAGCAAGTACTCTTGAGGGTTGTGTTTTTTGCACAATTTAGAGAAAAGAGTATTGTTGTTTAAACTTTCAGGTATCTCTCTTACATTCCGTGAATGATTTAACTGTATGTACTTTTATGACCATAAAAGAATGTTAGATAGTACATGTATCTTTTTAAATATGCAAGAAAAGTGAACCCCTCCCCCCCCCCCCCCAACAACAACAACAAATTTAATCTCGGTATAAATCCAATTTTGATTGACATTCATGAACTACATGTAGAACATTTGACAATGGCATGTTATTCAGGTGTGGGCATGTTTACATACAAACATTAATATACAAATGATGAGTGTGAATGAGTTCATTATATGATCTATTCATTCTCGAGTTAAGGTAGTCTGCATCTCGGGCTCGGCAAGAGCAGATATGAGACAATAAACTAATGAAGATATGCATCACTTTTGTTTTAAACATTACTTTAGCATGTTTACTAGAAGCGTAATGCGCATGAATCGTTTGACTTTGACCAATCATTTGATTAGGATCTAGGAGTGAGTTGTACAACATTAGTTATACATATTATGTAGACTACTACATCCATTATCACAGTCACGCCATAAATGTTTGATGTTGATGTTTTGTGGTGATTTCAAAGTGTGTGTTTACTGTACACATAGTACAATCATGAAATACATGTACATACAAGATGTGGCAAATGAGAACCATTTATTTGAATACTTTTATTTTATGTTTTATGATCATGCATGGCCTTGGTGGCCTTGGATTAATTTAAGCCCTGCACTGTACATGTAACGTACTAGTTATACAATCTTATTGAAAACTGTTATTAAACAGCAAAGTGAAAATGGCTGAAACTTTTCTGAAACATAGGAACACACACAGGTTTCAGCAGGTGTGATAAATTTGTCCTGAATGGCAGAGTAAGAAAAATCATGTAATCATGGCCATTTGAGATACTGTACAATAGTTTACATACATGTACATACTTTCTTATGGCATGCATGTCCTAGGATCCTAATCTTCCAAGAATGTATAATTGTAACCGTCAATTATTTTGGTCATGAGTAATAGTTTGAAAGGCCTACTTGAACCTAGACTTTTTTTTTGTAAAGCCACCTCAGTTCCATTATGGGAAAGGGATGTTTTTAAACTGCCTGCAAGATTTGTACACACAATGGCGTGAATAACAAAGTGCAGGGTTGTGTTCCCACGATTATTTATTAAACATTCCATTTTGGATCTAGAATCAGCAATATACTTAAGCTGGAAGAGAGAAAGTTTAATAGGATTAGGTTTTCCAAGCATGTAAATATACGTGTGGCATGTTGCAAGTTATTTTGCAGATTGGTCCATGAATTTTGAATTATGATATTAAATTCAAATTTTGAATAGGAAAGATTAAGCAGCGTGTGATGTGTCTAATCATTTTTGTTTGCTTCGTTGTTTGAGGTTTCATGCTTGTATACTAAATCAAAATGGGTATTTTTTTATTTTATGAAGAGATGCACATGTATGTACTGCAAATTTAAATACTGAAATTACTCGTATGTGATGGAGGTGCCCATGGGCTATAGTGATACATGCATGGATGTCAATGAGTAAACTTGTGGGAAGTTCTAAAACGATTGCATGTGATTGGCCACCTTGACGTGAAAAAGTGGGTAATTTAACTAATGTTCGCCATCAAATATGATATAAAAGCAAGTTCACAGTTTGTTGGTTTTATTTATTACAGTTAATGCACAGTATGAAACAAAATAAAAATCAACCAGTTAAAAAGCCTGTGGAGCCTTTCACCAATGACAATTGATGAAGCATCAACGCCAATGTATTGCTGAGTACATCAAAATATATTAATTCAAATGCAGAGTATAATAACTGAAATTTGACACATTTTAACCAAAGTCAACCATGAACATCTACTTGTACATGAAGATGATGTTTTTAGACGAGCTTAAGCCTCTGGCATTTCCTCGAGGCTTGACTGACTCCACTATTTACAGCCTACATGTTCTGCTTTCATTACAGATTCAGTCCTGTACACAGTAAACTATAGATTGGTGTATTGCATAGTGTTTGAGGAGTACTTATCTGCACAAGAGGTATTTTCTGTTAACACACCAACGACATCGGCATTACCCAATCACTGATGATTGATAAATAATGACTACCCCTAACACGTGTCAACTTCCAATCAATGTTTGATATTCTAAACTGAATTTCCACAATGGCCCACTTGTCAATAGATCATCCATGTTTAAAAGCCCTCTGTTCTCTCTTCAGGATCTGATGGTGGAGGTCCATGGGTCCTCCCCTTGTTTTAACTCCCTCTTGTACAGCTCTGTCTTGTTCTTCCAGCCAGAGTAGCGGACAGTCTGCTGCGCGTCAAGGTAGTACCCTACCAGAGCAAAGGCAGGTGTGATGGCTGCCCACCAATAATTCCTCAGCACTTGCATCACCATTTTGACTTTGGGATGTTCTGAAAGACCAACAAAATTAACAGGCATTTTAATATACCTGTGACATTTTAATATCTGCCATTTTTGCCTTCGACATTTTAAGCTCCATTTCACCAGGCGCCAGATTGTCAATTTGATGTCCAACCCTGTGGCTTTATGTGGTGCTTAAAGAACTAGCCAACACATTGTTGTTGCGAATGAAAAATACTGATTGGGACTGGCAAAATTGGACCTGGGCTGAGACACTGCAAGAATAATGCACGGTCCTGTCCTGAACCCATTAAAGGAAAATGATCTTAAAGTGATCCGGTAACTTCGTCTTAGATCCTTTAGAAATAATCCTTGATTTAGCTCATGATGCAATGATAATTATAAACCTTTAGGTCAGTCGGGAACTCCATGACTTTTACAAGCTGATCACCTGTCTGATTATCAAGATATTAATGATTGGAATTACAAATTTTGAAAAACGTTCGCTGAATGGTTTTCATAACACTACAGTCTTCCGAGGAAAACGAGTATGTTAAAACCGGTCACTCAAACATTTGTTACTTTTTTTAGGCACTTCTTGATCATTTTGAAGCGCGATTTTTTTTAGGGCTTCAATATTACATATATCACAGACACTGGTAACATGTAGACCATGTACCGGTATCCCAGATTTAAGTTGTTAAACAATCCCATAAAAGAAGTAGACCTAGACTGTAGTCTACTGGTAGGTCTGATTTCTTTTAAACTGGCCGACAGTTTTGAATAAGATAATCAGCTAGTGTTTGCTGAGTTTTAATTGTGGACATTCTTAAAAAAGAAAAAGAAATATAACAAGAATTGAGAGAGAAAATACAAAGCCCATGCAATGGACAAATTTGAACTATCAAGTGATTGACTAAAAATTGGATTGTCTCACTGCAAGTCTGCAATGTGATGTGGGCATCAGCTAGACTAGAGACGGAAAACAGATCTTGAAATATTGAATAGCCTAAAAAATAAATCTGCTCTTTATAATTAATACACACAGTCACAGCCAGGCAAAGAGTTGGTACATCTAGCCAACATCTGATCTTCATCAACTGGTAAGCCTACAATCTATACAAAGCACCGATGGTATTTACGCCTCGACTGTGTCTGGGATCACATCACACACGTACCGCAGCATGCACCTACCGATCGACCGAATGCCAGGCCAGACCCTTGCCAGCGCGAACGGTACGGGGAGAGGAGGCCACGAATGCAGTGCTGGAGCGCTTGGCGGCTGGCCCAATATATAGGCTCTAGCTAGTCTAGGCTATTAGTATTACCCCGTCGGTACCCTCTACATATCTGTCACGGCACACTGCATGGACATCAACACATTCACCTCCACATGTTACTCTACTAGAAAAGTTACTTACCAGAGGTAAAAGGTCTATGGGTCGTCAAATGTTACGACTCAGTTTCGGTTATCTGCCGCGGTAGCGGCCGGATCCGAATATAATCACATCGAACCGATAGAAGCCGGCGGCCGGTTTTTTTTTTTGGGGGGGGGGGGGGGGGGGGGGGGGGGGGGGGGGGAATTGATGGTTTTTTACATGCGCTTATATAGCATCAGTGTGACCTTGGCTAGAAAGCCAGAAATCAGTCAATAAATTATCTTATTCGTGCACTGAGTTAGACTTAAAGAGGGTACGTAAAGAGGGTACGTAAAAATGAGAACAAGATATAAGCATTTTAGTATTCATATCTCTTTAATATTCCATTTGGCTTATACATTTCTACTTCTACAATCATCATGATACCAAACACCAGAAAATGAGCATGTATTATACACTGCACCATGAAAAACCTCTTTGAGTACCGGTAATTTTAATTTTAATTATAACCACATGAATGAATTGCCGTGATATAAAACAGCCTCTAAATTGCAGCTAGATTAACTGCAGCTACATGTTGTACAAAACGTTTTGTACCAAAAAAACAATATCATATACTTTCACATCTCAGCTCTCTTAAAGGATACATGCACGAGTGTTTGTTGTAATAAAACCAGTGGCAATAATTAACCTTAATGATGATGTTCAATTGCATTGGAAATTTGGAATACATGTAATCATATTGCAAGGAAATTTATTAAAGCACAAATTGTAGTGATTACAATACTGAGAGAGTGGGGGGGGGGGGGGGTAGGCATATGGAATGAATAGTTCGACACATTTTTAACAAGCCATCATAGAAGAAATGATATGATTTGCTTTTCCCATGTCATTAAAACATCACATCTTGAGATATGCAGATATAAATATTGAATAGCTATAAAAGGTGTTATTATTTATGGTTATATCATCCTACACCCCTCCTTCCCCCCTTTCCATGATGCTCCTGGTAACCATTAAACAAAGTCGGGTTGCCTGTCATGAATTTCCATAGGAGCTAATTAATTCATACTGTTAAGGTCGATCACCTTGCAATACTGTATTTCACTCTGGAGTACACACAAGTATAATAACGATCATGGACTCTATATACCAAAGATATTCTGAAAAAAAATTTTGTAAAAAATCTCACTTCTTACAAGACAAGCACAGGGATGAAGTCAAAATCATATTTGTTGTATGGCTCTATGAAGGCTTGTTCACATTGACACTTCTAAGTTCTAACCTTTTTTGTCTTTTTTGTTAGTAATATAGAATGCCAATGCCCTTGATATTTCTGTTTCTATATATCACACAGATAAGTGAGTACAGGAAGTTTGTTTGGCACAGCTACATTTTTTCATCCTTACTTGATTGTGATTCACTTGCAAATAAAAGATTGAAAGAAGATTAAAAAAAGTGGTTTCCTGCATCATGCATGAACAAGCCTCAACTAATTCTACCATTTATACATCTCTTCATCTGTTTCTTCATAGCACGAATAGGCATCCAACAGAAGTAGATACCACCACTATCCAGAAGCCATCATCGTCATTGATCTCCGTGTCTTACCAGAAGTTGATCAAAATAAAGCTCAGTTACAAACAAACTGAAACCATAACTGACTATCTGGCCTAGTCTTCTCAACTCTCCTTACACTTACATGTAATTCATTGAATATTACAAGACAAACAGACCCAGTAGAAAGAATGAATTTCATCGAGCATCTCAAACAAATTCAGATGTATGGCATGCAAAAATGAAAGGTATATTGCTCTAATATAATTGCTTCCAATACTGAATTAATCACACTTGCCTTAATTATCCTCACTGAGGTACACGTAATATAACTCTAAAGGGGTGAGTCTACCTTGATATTCAGTTGGTTATAATAAAAACAGAACAAAGAGAGAAAGTTATAAAAAAAAATTATAACAATTCAGACCTTTCTTAATTTCTATTGGACTTTCCCTTTAAAACAATTCTGTACTTTTTTCATGGCAGTCATTTTTCATACATGTTTAAATTTACTACCAACATCTATTTTCTAGACAAAAACTATAAAAGTTAAAATACAAAAATCAAAATGACACACTGTATAATATAATTACATCATAAAATGTCATAATAGACTACAAAAACTCCATTAGAGATGTTCAATCAATCAGTTTGATTTCCTACCCATCTATTACTGCGTTGAGTTGATGTTACTGTAATAATAGCCTCTGATATATGGCAAGTAAAACAAGAAATGTAAAAAAAATGGATTAGACATATTGATGAAATAAAATGTACAGTGTATACCCTGTAAAACCTCACAACATTTAGACACATCAGGGAATTATACTGAGAGAATCTCTGCATAAACTTTCTTGTTAAAAACAGATTTTTCAGTAACATAATATATTAATTAAAAATATATGCAGAGCTCTATTCTCAAAATAATTCCATTCATAAAAAAATCTTTTACAAGAAAATTCATTTGGCAAAAAGGTTGGCATTACATGTGTACACATAACATCATGCATGTATTGCATTAAAGTATCCTACATCAT